GTATCGAAAAAATATCGAACCTGTCACCAAAGTATCGAACGGAACCGTGAATTTTGTGTATCGTTGCACCCCTAATATCTATCTATCTATCTATCTATCTATCTATCTATCTATCTATCTAGCACAGTGAGATTATGTGTACACAGTTAGAAGCAGGATGGAAACTGCTGTAGATTTTAACAATCACACAAACTGTGAAGATGATTCTAAGTATTCCAGTGAATGTATAAAAACATTAGCATTAATATCAGCCTCATGTGGCGAATCATAGATGTTTGCTGTTGTTTTTTTCTTGCTTTTAACCTTTAGCATGTTGTTTGATTGCATTTGATTGTTTTTATATAATGTCAGTATTTATTTTTACAGGCATTTAACACTTTTATCGTGTCTGGAAAGAGGACTGAAACTACAAATGACAGATTTTACTTTGTCTCCTCCTCTTCTTCCTCTTCTCTTGTTTTATATTACTCTGAATTAACACTGCAAACAAATGAAAGCTGTATTCTATTTGAAAATTCAACATTTATTGTTGTGATTGTCATATTTTGCCTGCTGCACCTTCTGCATGCCTGCCTGTCAGACAGAGCGCTGTAATAAATCTTTACAATAACTGAACGCCGTGATTGTCGCTGAATTTTTGTTTGGTTGGTTTTTTTGCTCTTCAGTTAGGAAAGAAGTTAAAGGTTTCTTTTACAGAAACACCGTCCAAACTCCTGGATGTCATTACATTATAACTGTAAATTACATTTGGGCTCTCACTTTAGAGATGCTGTAAGTTTAATCAGTACGTGCAGAAAGAAACACGTGGGGAGAAAATAGGATAATTACCAAAGTTATTCCATAATCTTCATTCCTCGAGACACATTTCTCATGCAGGAACAAAACTGGACCACCTCAATCGCGAGCTTTGGAGATGACTCAGTGTGAAGCGTTAGGGAGCACTTGGCAGCGAGGCTGTAGGATCTGACACAGCACAGTGCATGTCAGAGCTGGTAGCAGTTACATGTAATAATCAAATTCAGATCAAGCTCAGTTTAACTGCAACAAATCATTTCTGACAGCTGGACGTTTTGAGTGAGTCGGGCTCTGCTTGTGATGCACTCTTTCAGTTGTTTATTCGTACTATAACCACATAAGTAACCACAGTGACTACTGATCTGAAGCCTCTTTGCTTGGAGTACAGCGTGTTACAGGACTATCTGTGAATCACAGAGAATATCATGTCAGTCCTGTAAGTGACCTCCAACACCTTATCTCGCTTCATAGCGATTTTTCTGCGGGGCTGGTGGAAAAATACTGCCTTTCTCACCATCCGTCTCCATGGAGCACCACTAACGTCCATCATCAGGAATTCTGACATACTCAGCAGTCTCCATCAGCTATTGCTTCAACGAATACCTGCACGTTTTACAAATCACCATAATGTGATTGATAACGCATGCACGGAGCTCCTGTCCTAGAAGGAAAAAATGTATTTAAAACCATTAATGGTGACTGAATACCACCTGCTGACTCGCTACAATGACCCATCATTAATCCTGCTTAAAAACAGACCCTAAATAGTTAGTTTTACTCGCACTTTCTTTACAAGAGCAGCAGATTTACTGCTTACTTCCTCTGGAAGTCCCATTGAAGTAAAGTCAAAGTATCTCAAAACCTAAATGTGATTATCAATATGCTCGATGCTGTGCGGTTTACACAATCAATCTTTTGTTTTCTGAGGGGGTCTGTGGTTCCTCACGCATGTAATCACCTACTGTGTGACTGTAACGTGATGAAGTGCTTAATCACACAGAGGGGAAGATGGACCAGCGATCTGAGTGATGACACAGAGGCAGACAATGGCAAAACCGATGTGGGCAGCTGCTGAGAGCGGTTTCAGACAGAAAAGCCAAAGCACTGCTACTCAGTAGGTGTTCTACTATTGTTCTTAACTTAAATGTGGATTTCAACAGGATATGAAATTGTCCACTCACTTTTTTTGCATGCATCAGGTTTGTTGTTTAAACTTTGCTTGATCATGGAAACTATGACAAACATACATAGCAAAATCTTCTGGGATCCTTTTTTGTTTGAGTTTGAAGTATCAGCTGTGGCTACAATTAAACTCGTTTGGCCTTCTTGCATTAAATCTCTTAATCAGTGTTTTAGGATATTTAAGTGAGGACACATGGAAAGCTGTATAACACTGAAACTTAAGGCCTACAGCACCCCCTGGCTGCCATAAATGTCACTTTTCCTCCCAGTTTCTTCTTTTGTAACCTTCATGTGTACCGTGCCTCCAACTCAAAATAGCAGGATTAAACCGTTTGCATCGGATGTATTCCCAACTGTTTGAGTTCATGCATTTCAGATCATAGCTTGAGTTTAGCCCTCCGATCAGCTGGGACTTCACTGTCTCCACTTAAGGCAACAATACAAATCAAACAACTGCTCCTGCCACTACAACCAATGTTTCTTTGTTTTGTTTTTACACCAGGCACAAATTCAATAAAGGAGTGTACAGCTCAGTGGCATAGCTCATTTATTACTGAATAAAAATTGGACATGAACACGTGCAGACTAAAAACCAGTGTAACAAAACGGACAATCCTAAAATCTTTTTGCAGCAAGTCTGCACTCCCTGCTGGGAGGTCAAAAAAAAAGAAAAGAAGAAAAAGTCAAATAGACAGTACTCTTTTGAAACTGTACAAAATACAGCATCAGCAACATATCTGTTCAATAAAAAAAAGAAAACAAAGACTGTGCAAACATTTTGATCTTTCCTGAATGTTTATTTTACATTTATTCTTCAGTACGTCCACTGAGCCATTTGCTTTTATAAATCAAAGCATTCACATTTTGTCAGTGGTCATCAATCCGTCTTTACACTGTAAATAATTTCCCCCCCAAATGTCCATAACATTATATGTAAAACTAAAAAAGAAAAGGGAGGAATGGAGAAAAAAAAACAACAAGAGGGGGCTGGGCTGGGTAGGCTAGATGGTTTGTCAGGATATATGGTTGGGTCTGGAGCTGATGTCACACTACAACCTTGCCTTTGCCAGTCTGGGCAAATGTTTAAAGGTAATTGTAGAGCACCTCATGGTGGTGGTCACAGCTGCAGTTTGCATGTAGATGCAAAACCATCAACCACCCAAGATAGATGTCAGCTACAGATCTGCTGCTCTGTAGGAGACTCAAAGCCATCAAAGACATTTGTACATGAGACGCGTGGTGAGTTATCTGGCTCCACTGTTTCCACTGAGATGAATCATAATGCTGGCAGATGTTTTGTGACTTCAACAAAATTAGAAAAATTAAAATCAACTTGTATACGCTGATGGTCTGACGCCAGGTGTGTATGAGAAACCCAGCAAATTCAGAGGAAGGACACCAGCTGGTATACAAAATGGCAAATCCAATTAAACGTGTTTTCAGTCACGGCAGCTTCGACAAGGTTTTTGAAAATTTTTGGTCTTTAATAAAGCAAGGTACAAAAATCTCTTCTGTTATGTGGATGTTTGGTTAACTTCTGTTTTACCTTCTGCACAAATATTTAATTTAAGCATCAATCTGCCAGTCAATGTTCAGAGGGCGCGTCTAATTTGATTTGCATATACTCAAAGTACTCATGTGACCATCAGCCCCAGAGCCAGAAAGGGTCGGTTTGGGTCTCAGCGACGGTGGCGGCTGTGTCCCGAGTGCCCACTACTGCTGTGGTGTTTGCTCTTGTGGCTACGCTCCCTCTCTCTGTCCCTGTCGTAGGATCGGGACCGCTCCCTGTCCCTCCGGTCTCGATGGCCACTTCCTCGGTCATGTTTGTGTTTCTTTGACGACAGGTCGAAGGAGCTGCGGTCTCTGTCTCTCTCGCGTTCCCTCTCTCTGTCACGGTCCCTTTCTACTTTGACTGGACTGCGGGACCGCGACCGAGAGCGCGAGCGCTTCCTTTTATGACCGGAGCCTCCACCTCCGCTGTTGCTGTGACGACCGCTGGGCTTGGAGTCGCTATTACTGTGGTGACTGGACTTGGATTTAAGGTGGGGGAGGAGTGGTGAGGGCGGATGCCGCTGTGGTGATGGGCTACGGCTGTGAGAGCGAGAATGTGAACGAGAACTGTAGGTCCCTGAGTGGCTGCGTCTGCTGTTGTAACTGCGAAAACAACAGGTGGGAAAAATCGACATGAGAAACAGCCAGACTATGAAAATCAGATCTTTTTAAACACAAGGAAGGTAAGAGCTACACATTCACACACGTTAAAACACAAAACTGTAGAGCTTACTGTCTGCGAAAGGAGCGTGATCTTGACCGCGAACGCGTTCTCGAACGAGAACGACTTCCACTCCTACTGTTCCTCCCAATCTTTACCTCCTTCCTTAACCTGCAGACAAACATTTTGAACTTGAACTTAAAAACAGACTATCAGGCAAGTAACAGATCACAACTATTACCTTGTTACAAATGACGGCGAAATATTGACTTAAAATGCGTTTCGTACCCATTATGTGGACTCTTGTTGACCTGGGTACGGTTGTCCGGTTCCTTTTTAACTGGTTTGACAGTCTGGGGGTTCGGGGACTTCTCTTCCACCTTGACCACAGGGGAGGACGGTTTGGATGCAGGTGAGAAGCCACCCAGCGTGGACAGTGCAGGAGTACCATCAGGATTCAGACCCTTAGCCTTTATCCTAGCCTCTGCCAAGAACACTTTCCTTCGCTCCACCTCTTTCTCCAGCTGCTCATAGTTAGGCTAAGGGAAGAAAAAAAAAAGTTTACGCCAAGTCTGCCAAGAGCTCTTACTTTCATTCAGGCACCTTCCCCTGAGCCATACAGTGCAGGAGTGTATGCTAGTTTATTTTAACCTTGGATCGATGTAATCTGTCACAATATGTTGACAAGATTGCAGAAAAATGACATCAGCCTTAGAACTAACTCTACTACTCGTGGTTTTTTCAATTTTCTAAGGCCTACCTAAAGTGAAAACATTTTTTAACTGCATGTAATTTTTTTTTTTTTTAATCAGAAAATAATTTGAGAATCTCAAGCTCAGTTTTGAACAAATGGAAAATAAACTGACAAATAAAGTTTTGCCTCCCAGCAATCATCCCTCTCCCGTCCACAGCTGCTGGATCAGCCAGCTGAGCTGTACAATTTGGGTTTTTATCTGAATTTTTAGACTCTACACTGTCTGAACACAGAAAAGCTCTCAGTTACAGTGAAGCCTCTGCTTGCTTCATGTCCCAGCTCAAGTCTAATGGGTAAGTTGTCTGCTTTAGTCTCCATTCACATCAAAATGCTTGGCTGATTTCTGCTATAATCACATTTTAAATGCCCAGAAGGAATGTGCGCAGCCTAATATAACTGATATAAATATTGATGGTTTATCAATAATTATGTTACTACATTACAGTGCTATGTGAGTCATTCAGGTAACTGATGATGTCCTGCTTCTGGACTACCAGCATTTAATGAAGAATCAGGAGCATGTCGAGCAAGGTCCTTTAATGTTAAGCACTGGGCTGTGTGTATCTGAGTACTTAAAGGGACAGTTCAGCGACTGCCTGATAAAAACAGAAAACTTTAAATACAGCTGCACTTTTTAATTTTTACTTATAGCTCGTGTAAGGCCTGACTCAGACTCTTGCAGGGAATCTTTCTAGAGCCTATGATGTAATCTACATTACGCGGCTGATGGATCCCTCTATTTTTCCACTTGTTTGTACATTCCCTCACATGAATCCTGATAGTTTCAGAAATCTCCCTCCAGAAATGTGTTCACATTTGGGAGTCCTGATCTCGATGATTAATATTCCTTATACTGGAATCACGATTGTTATTCTCTCACTAATAAATTTAAAAACTAGGGGGGGAAAGTAGCCGTAAAAAGCACTGAGGAATTGGAACAGGCCAATCACAATAGTTGATCCATTGACCCAACATGACCCAACCAAGACTTGACCCAGTGCTTTTTAAAATTGACTAAAGACGGCCCATGCTTCAGTGTGTTCTAGACATGTTTGATCATTCAGGACTTGAGCGCAATCTATTTAGCAATAGTCACAAAACACACTCATTGTGGATGAATTATAGTTAATGCAAAGCATAGGAAAGCACTGCACTCATATTTACCTTCTTCCTGGTGTAAAGTTTCAGGGTGGTGATGCAGATATCTTTGATCTCTTCTTCCGTGGCTCCAAACAGCAGGAACCAATGGGGTCTGGTTGGCAGCGGTATCTGAAAAAGAAAGGCAGCTATTTATCTAAATTGCTTTTATTAGACAAAGACATTTTGATGTGCCAATGTGGGACTATCAACAGGAAAAAAGTTTCAGATTTGCACTATTTCCTCTCACCTGCAGTGCTCGGGCAGCAAGGTATATGCAAGCGCAGGCAATCGTCTCAGCTTGAAACCTCACAAACACATCTGTCCTCAGGCTATCGTTCATGTAGTTCCTATGGAGACAAAAGAACGAACAAAAACATAGCATCTTCTCCACACAAAACCTTAAATCCATCTTTCAATATTACACCCATTGACTATAACCCAGTACTGCAGGTTAATAATATGCAACATTTCTCTACAGTACAAGCTCCTAACCAGGGATTTAACTTTTTAAATTTTCTTTGAACAAGCACTGTTAACTGGACCCCTGGACTGTTGGATTTGACACGGTGCTCAAGTGAGATATAAACTCAGGTTTAACTTTGTCCATTTCTCTCTGGGGCATCCATGAGAGCGCACCACATCACAAATAAAGCATGAAGACACAGATGGTGATAAAAAAAAATTATCTACTGATAACCTGCCAACTCCACCTCATCTAATTGTACCCAGAGGGCAACAAGGTTACGCTCTAATGAGGATTAAGACAAGGGCACATGCCATACAAGGTGGGGAGCATGCAGGCTCGGAGATGTAGAATATTTATCTAAGATGCAGCTGCCACAAATCTGAGGGGAACTGGGTAGCACAGCATGTCATGTAGCATGCAACTGGTGGTTCTTGGAGTCAGTGGTATGCTGATATGCTCAAAGTAAAAACTGATTTTAACATTTATTCAAGGTTCAGCCACAGAACATTTATCACTTTAGGTAAAAACTGTATAATTCAAACTGAAATGACCACAAAGTCCACTTGAGTGAAACTTCCTTCTAGTAAGACTCATTAGAGGTCTTCTCTAGAAGACATCAGGTGATGATTAGCTAAAAAGAGATTATGTGTCAGAGGGTTGTCTAGGACAATGAATAAATGAGATTAGACACTGGGAGAGTATTAGGAATGGCAGGATGGCCAGGTTGTGAATCAGGCAAGTTACTGGGTAGTGTCACATCTATGTCCTTAAGAAATAGATGTGACAAAGACAAAAACAGAAGTGTGATAACAGAAACATGGCGGTGAGACTCCTTAAAGTACCCAAACACTAAAAAAGAAAGCTCGCACAAGAAACCCACCATTAGGGGAAAGAAAAAAAAAACCTACATCTAACACAGTCAAGCTTCCTCTGCATTGCAGTGGCACTGGGATTACCTTGTCAATACCAATTTCCAACCATACATAAAATTTTGGACGGCTCCAGTTAAAGTTTGCTGCAAATGCTGAAAACCTGCCATTCAGATAAAGTGTCTTCAGTCCAAACTGCCTAGAACAAAACTAGCATGCCAACTCTGCTATAGATAACACATGGATGTTGGATTCTGAGTGCTGCGTGGGTGAGACAGGTCCATGGAGGCAAAACCTGAGAACTCGATCAGCCTGTAAGACAGACACATGTCTGGACACCACGTCAGTTGGGGACAAGACACAATACCTACTGTAAATTTAAAAAAAATTAAAAAAGGCAGGCAAACTAGTTAAAAAAAAAGTCTGTTCTGGCTAAGTTTACTTCACTGATAAATGCAAGTAAACAAAAAAAGTTAGAATATACATCTATCTGTAGCTACTTGGCAAAAATAGTTATTACAGATGAAAACCTTTATAGCAAGACCAAAAAATACAAATCCTTTTGGACACCCAAGAGAAAACAAGACGATGCTGGCTGTTGGGTAAAGTCCCGCCCGCCCCCTTCAGTGAATCTCGGCATTGGGACTGGCTGTCTGGAGAGGGGCAGCCAGCCAATGGGGGGAGCTTCCTGAGGTCATGTGGTTGGAGGAGGCAGAGTTCAGAGGTTCTTTATGTGACTTACCAGCATGGACTACCCTTTAATCAAAGAGTAGAGAGAAAGGACAAAGTTAAACCAAGGCCCCTGGGCACCGCAATTTTTTTTTTTTTTTTTAAAGACTTTACAGTAAGCCATGTAAGGGCTGATAAGAGAGTGAGACAAGTAGTAAATTTGTAATAACACAAATTGCTCCATCAGGGAAAAGAAGAAAAAAAAAGTGGAAGGGTTCAAATGGAGTGAGGAAATGTCGTCGTCAGACCTGGGCAAAATGGCTGTTGAATGTTTTTCAAATGCGTGCCTGTAAATTGGTAGGCACTTGAATATTACTTATCTGACAAGTGGTCCACATATGGGTCAGTCCCAAGTTCCTGGCAGATAAATCAAGTGCTCTTCAGAAATTCAACCATTTGAAACTCGTTCAACTTCATCTTTAGCCCAGGTCTGGAAGCACTTCTTGCAGACATGACACAGGTTGCTGCTGTGGGGGGGTTGTCTGTGAAAAACTATTAATTAACTTACCAGGCTGTCTGCACCAATGTCTGGTTCTTCTCGCATTCCAGGACTTGAAGATACAGGACAACGATCTGTAATCATACACTGAAGTTAAAAAAAATACCCTGCTCAATAGCCCCAGGAGCGTCTCCAAGATCAAACCTGTTCTGTTAAGTAAGAATAATATTTTAACCCTGTCTCCTGTACAGCTGCATTAGCTGCTTATTACATTTAAAATGTTATTACCAAAAAAAAGAAAAAAGAAAGAAAAGAAACTCACCTTGTGAGGGTGCTTGACATGCACACAAAATCCAAGCTCCTTCAAGACCCGCCTTTCCGCTTTGATGACTTGATTTTTGGTATTTATGTAGTTCTGATCAAGTATCAATGGACTTGGAGTCCTAGTTTGCAAAGGAATCAAAATAAAATATTGTTTCCCTCTTGCATTTAAAAGAAAAAAACAAAACAAAATTTAAAAAAGAAAAAAGACAGTGCCCTTCTGAATTCCTGCGCCCCTTCGTTTTTCCCATTTCAACCAACTCAAAGCAACAGTTAACTGTTTGCATGCCTGACAGTTTGCTGGGGTTTGTGGACTCCTGTGGTTCCAGTGAAAGCTTGTGAGATTCAAAGACAGCCCTCAACCCAAAAAACACACCCTGTGCCACAGCCTTAACAGAAATATCAACTTGGTGCTAACATTACGATTTCACGACAGACGTTTTGAACCTCAAGCTTAACGCCAATTTAAAATAAAAATGGAAAGCCGCCATTACTGTACTCCATCACAACTCATTCTCATCTATATTCTTATACTGTGTGTCAGTATACTGCAAATTAATTGACCAAAACCACTGTCTGGATGCAGGCAATCCAGACTTGGAAGGAAAACATTCAGAGCAGGGATTTTTTTGGGTCAAGTTACCCTTCACATACTGTACTGACCCCCAAAAATTCCACTGATGAAGACAAACTCGTGGAAAAAAAAATCCACAAAAAACAAAAAAACAAAAAAAACCACGAACGAACAAAGCTGATACACCAACGTCTGCTCAAGTTGCCTGTCATCGTGCCCACAAGATGAATTAAAATCTGGAATGGAATTAAACCACAATGATTTGTGAGAGTCATTCATTATACAGCATGACCCCTAACAAACCAGTAAACTTCAATTTAAAGAGTCTGCCATTCTAATGTCTCAAATATATTCTAATGTGAATGTTACACTACAAACCACATGCATGGAAAAAGCGAAAACAAAAATAACCTCTGAGGACTAAAGACAATACAACAAGCACAAATCCCAACCTAACATTACACCTCTTTTATATACACCTCACAGCTACACTTAAATGCAAAATCAAATTAACAGCATATAATGGCAAACTGTTGAAGCTAAAGAACATGCACTGACCCTCACTCAACAAAAACCGACAGACTCACAGTAACCAACTAATCATTCTAATTCTAACATACAAGATGATACTTCTTTAAAAGCCATGGTTGCAGCTGGTGGTGGATGGGGTGTTGCTCTTTAAGCACAATTAAAATGCATGGTGAGGAGCAGTCAGAGAAGAAAACTACATTACCCAAGGGTCCGCAGAATGACGGACAGATACCCAAAGCTTAAGACTGAACCACAGGAGTCCTCAAGGCGCCCCGGGGGCCAAGGACCTTCGGCCAACCTGTCATCCCCGATCCCAGTGCCCCGCGGTGGCTCAGACCACGGGAGTCTCCCGCAGGAGGGGGTGGGGTGGGCCTGGGGGAGGAGGGAGACCCCCCTCGCATCATGGTTCATGCCGACAGCTTCATCTTACGTACCATTCCACATCACCCAGGCTTTGGTAAATGTAGCTGGTCGCTGTTAGTTGGTTGCAAGGGAAAAAAGAAGTCAAGTTAATGCCAAAATCTGTAATATTGACATCAACAGATTTGTATGAAGACACAGGTACAGCTGCTTTGTCTGTGACTGTGTCTTACAAATAATAGACTTGAATTTTTGAAGCCAGTTGTTTGAGGCATTAATTTCAGTGCAATGTCAAACTGATGTTAAATGTAGACAATTACACTGCAAAACTACCAGTGAAGCGGAAACTGAAAAGTTTTAAAATGGTTTAGAGTACATGGATAAACAAAAGGGCACTTTCACAGCAAAAACACAGATCGGCATCAAACATTACATAATACAAAAATAAGAAAACAAAAACATTACAATGCAACATTTTTTACATGTTAAATAATTATTTTCAAGAGGAGAACATTGGATTCATTTGGAGTGCTTACTTTTTTCCTCTGAGCTGCTTCAGGTGATGGAAAACATTAATGACATCTCGTATTCGCCGTGGTGCTTCTTCTATCTTGGAGGCCAAGTTGATGCAAGCCATGGCAACAATCTGGAAAATAAAATGATAAGCAAACAGGAATGTTTACTACAGGAAACTGAGCTCAAGTGATCAGAACACAAACACGAGACAAAAAAAGAGGCAACAATATAAACCCTATCCTGTTTTGTTGTGGGGGGTGATGTGTACTCTTTACATACCTATCAATCCACCCTACAAACGTAATGATGTACTGAAACCAATGCTGACACTACAATAGTGCAAGTGTTTTAATGCAGTGCTATTGTGTACTTCGAGTCTGTGCTCAGTTTCACACTCATAGGAGATCTCACTTCATCGTTGAGTTGTTTAACTGGTGGAGTTAGACTCGACAATATGGCTGCCACTAACGTAGGTACAACGTTATGCAATGCTATGCTAACAATACCGGCCGACCAGCGGCCCGGCAACACTCCGGAAACTCTTAACACACTTACCTCGAAACTGTGCTTGACGAAGGACTTGGAGTAGAAAAAACGATGGAAAAGTACTTGAGCTGTTGCCATTGCGACCTGTCGAACGGGGGCGAAAAAAAAGAGCATAATAATTGTACATCGTCTTGTGTAAACTGGCCTAACCTTGCACAATGGATCGCCGCCATTTTAATTCCACCACGCCAACGTCAAGAGCTAACATTTAGCACACTGCTGACAACTAGGCCGCAGAAACTACAAGCCACATCAACTTTCGCCTATTATTATCAAACACCCAACACTAATGTACTGCAGTCAAGAGCGCTTACCTGTGGCAACCGGAGGAGAATACCCGCTGACTGAATCAGCTCACAGCCAAGAATACGAAGGTCGGCCTCTGTGTTCAGGTCGAGGCCGTCGAACATCGACGGCGTCGTTGAGAGCCTTTCCTCCGGTACAAGCGAGTTGTCGATTGTAAGGTACACTTCTGAGTAAAATTTGTCGCCAATGAGAATCCCATCATTGTTAGTGGAGGCATTGGAAGATACAGAGAGAGGACCTGCGGCCATCTTCACCTGAAAAACAACGGTTAGCAGCTACAGCGAACACAGCCTCCACACGGTAACAGCGGAGCAGGGTGACTGGCGAAGTGCGTGACGTCAACATGCTGTTCAGATGGAAACGCTGTGTACATCCGCGGTGGTAAATAGTCTCGCAACGCTGACTCGTTAAATTTTACAAGTACGTAACTTGAATGTATTTAAACATTCTAAATATAAGTTACAAATATTTTAATAATAAGCAAAACATTTCACCTGGTATATAATGTTTCATTGCTTTCCGTTTTAAGCTACAGTCAACTCTTTGCTTCGATTTCACCTTTAAAATCCTGTGTCAAAATACTTCAGATAAGCACCATAAACAATTTAATCCCGAAAACAAAATGTACTTGACGCATGAATCAAATCAGTTTTATTACTGGCACTACATTAACATTCACTGTAGCACTACTAGTGACAGTTTTCTATGTATTACTCATTAAACGTCACTGCCGGTAATGCCTGCTAAATTTCCGACGTCACCCAAAGGCAGCAGAAGAGAACACATCGCCACTGGTCGCCACCAACGGTTTCTGTGATGTGATTTACGGGAAAGTCCGGACTTGTCACTATTACCGCTAGAACATATCCATCCGCCAATTTAAAATAAAGGAAGAAAATATTAGCGAAATGTATTTTTAAAAGACCAGTTTAAATATTTCGTTCAATAAATAAGTAACTGTTTGTATGGACTAGTCACAGACTACGGGTGTTGTTATATTTCATCTTCAAAAAACTAAAAAAAATATGTAGAATGAATTGTGATAACTGTTAAACTTAATTTTAAGACATGCCTGGAGAGCAGTTTTGACTTTGCGATTCTGTATGCAGGTTTTATATCCATTAAAGTAAGATACAATTTCAAAATAAATCCTCAAAAAATTGACCAGAAGTGTTACCAAGATTGCTGTGAAGTGGCACTTACTTCCAGAAGGACTTTGATCATGTCAAAGGCAACAACACAGTATTTAATGCAGGGAACACTTTGTTCAGTGAGAGCTCAGCTCACAGGATTTTATTGCCGGAAGCCTTGTAGTTACCAAAAACAGTCAGCAGAGGAAAGTAGAGACCCACCAGTTGCTACAAGATAAGCTCTGTGGCTCCTCGGGTCATTCAGTTTGTTCTGTGAGGACTTGCATGCTCATCTTGCTCATCTTGTCCCCTTTCTCCTTCAACAAACCCACAGGCACTACAGTTAACTGATGACCAGAGTAAATGTCATAAAATGTTTCATCTTTACTCACAACCTGTTTACCTGTGGTTCTCTGCCAGTATATAACACAGAGAGTTTCAATGTAGCTTTTTTTAAATTTTTTATTCCTGTAGGAGTTTTATTGATCTTTCATTGCAAATGAGCAAATCATTGTGTTCACTTGCTTGAAGTGTGTAGTAGCTGTTTTTAGTTTGTACTGTTAGTTTTTGAGGTTGTAATCATTGTGGTGCCGTCTTGTCCAGGCTGCCAGACTGTTTAATGTGAGCATTTGATGGAAATAAAACTACTACTTGTCTAATCTACCAAAAGTTAGTCAAATTAGTCAAATATAAATGGAGTAAATATAAAGTGCAGTTCTTAATCGATGATTTGTTTTAGTAAGCTGGGGGGGAAAGCCGTTAAAACCTACCTTGCCCTCTGTGAAAAGCTCCCTGCCCCCTCTTGTTAAATCATCATGGATTAACTGTAATTGAACAAGTTTTTTTTTTTTTTTTTTAGAAAACTGAGTTAAATTTCCTGAGCCACACCCAGGCCTGATAACTGCCAGACCTGTTGAATCAAGAAATCACTTAACCTGTCTGACAATGTGAAGCAGGCTAAAAGAGAAATGCATCGTGCCATGATCTAAACAAGTTCAAGAACAGCTGAAACACAAAATCATTGACATCTATCAGTATGAAAAGGGTTACATAGCTATTTCTAAGCCTTATCCAAAAATGGAGAAAGACTGGAACAGAGACTGGCGGACCTTCCCAGGAGTGGCCACCCTACCAAAATTATTCCAAAAGGGCATCGACTCATCCAGGAGGCCACAAAAGAACCCAGAGCAATATCTAAAGACCCGTAGGCCTCACTTGTTACAGTTAAATGGTAAATGGCCTGCATTTGTATAGCACTTTACTTAGTCCCTAAGGACCCCAAAGTGCTTACACTACATTCAGTCATTCACCCATTCACGCACACATTCACACACTGGTGATGGCAAGCTACATTGTAGCCACAGCTGCCCTGGGGCGCACTGGTTAAAGTCAGAGTTCATGAATGACAATAAAAAAGATCCATCCATCCATCCATCAGTTTTCTTCTGCTTATTCAGGCCAGGTGGTGGGAGCAACAGCCTAAGCAGAGAAGCCCAGACCTTCCTCTCCCTACCCACCTCAGGGTTACCCAGGGGAACACCAAGGCATTCCCAGGCCAGCCAAGAGATATAATCTCTTCAGTTGTGCTGGGTCTGCTCCGGGGCATTCTTCTGATGGGACATGCTGGGAACACCTCACCCAGAAGGCTTCCAGGGGGTACCCCTGTCAGATGCCCGAACCACCTGAACTGGCTCCTTTTGATGTTAAGGAATATTGGCTAGGGATGGGAATTGATAAGAACTTAGCCATTCTGATTCTATGATACATTTTACCTATTGATTCAATTCCTTATCAGTTTTCTTAGCGATTCTTATTGGGTTCTCACTAGCTCCGCTCCAAGAGTTACCACCATTACTAAGCACCACATTACATTTATGCAAATTAATTGTATGTTGTGTGGTCTAATGTTGTGATCAGTGTTGAGTCATTACTCAAAAAAAGGTGATGTATTACACACCTTAGACATAACACTTTTATTAGAAGTAATGCAGTACATTACTTAATTGCTCCAAGGAGAAAATCATTCATTATACCACTCATTACATTACTTTCATCTTACTCTCTAAAATGACCTGAAACACACTGTATCAAAATTATTACTTAACAATCAAACACCTGAGGCTACAATCCCAAACACCAACACAAATCCCTATCCTAATGAGGACACATCTTTCTCTTAGCATTTGGGTATGAACACAAAGCCAACAACACAAAACAAAGATGAAATTCAGCACAAATACACTTCAAAGTGATGGCAACAGTTATTCTACTGTAGAAACACGACCAGGTAGAAATGAAGGCTGCAACCTGACTGCTCATCCGCTTGTTACCGATGAAGTTCAGCAGCAGCTGGCCTCACCACAGCTCACAAATGACAAGGAGCCAGGCTTGGGGAGGGTGCCTGAGGTCATGGGGGCCGTGCTGGTTATAGCCCAAAGAAGGGACATGGACTCACATTCCTGTAGGCCCACCACCCGCAGGGGGCACCATAGGGGTCAGGTGCAATGTGTGCCAGGTGGTGACCAAGGGTGAAGATCCCGATACCCAGCTAACGAGAATAAGAAAGACACTGGGCAAAAACAACACCCATAGAAAAATTCTTTGTCAAAAAACATCTAGATGATCCCCAAGACTTTTGGGAAAATATTCTGTGGACTGACGAGACAAAAGCTAAACTTTTTGGATGGCTTGAGTCCTGTTACATCTGACGTAGAACTAACACAGCATTTCATGACATACATGACAGACAGGCAAACATGGTGGTGGTAGTGTGATGTCTGAGGCTGCTTTGTTGCTTGCCATAATTAATGGAACCATGGATACTGCAAAGAAGAGTGGGCCAAAATTCCTCCACAGCCTCATAAAAGACTCATTGTCCATTATCACAAACGCCTGACGGCAGTTCTTGCTGCCAAGGGTGGCGCAACCAGTCAGTAGGTTAAGGGCGTAATTACATTTTCACACAGGGCACCTATACCAGGTAACAGGTTACATGTTCAACTCAGAGGAAAATGCAAACGTTAGCTGAACTGACAAGGAAATTATCGCCCAGGGTTAAAGTTTGATCCATCCACGGTATCACAACCTGTCTGCGGGTCTGTGAAGCATCCACGGGACAGTCATAAATATTTACCCATGTCGCACACCACATGAAGTGACAGACTGAGGTCTCTCACCCTCCCACCCCCAACACCTACAACTAGCACCTCCGGCCCCCAGCGCTTACGCAGTTGCCACCACGACAAGAATACAAGCATTCTTTCTCTGGTTGCCTTGGTGACACTAATTATGGGGTGTGGGAGGGCTCACGGGGCATCCGAATTCCGAAACGACCATATCGACGTAGGACAAAGGCGTTCAGGGACGCCCAGTGACGAACAAGGGCTTAGTTATACACACACGCCACTCCCTGGAGCGTGTGTGTGTTTACGAGGAACTTGCACAGATTCCCCAGAGACACGTGTGCATGCCTGCCCTGCTATGATAATTACCTTGAGGAGATCACACTCCCAGTGTGTGTGTGTGTGACATAAGTGAGTGTATGTACAAATGTTTGTGTGTATGGACAAATCTGAGAGTTTAAGAGCGTCGTTTGTGCCAACTTTCTGCTGTGGGCCTGCATCGAGATCTAGGAGTTTCAAGGAGTCATATCAGTGATGTGACAAGAAGGACTTCAGTTGTATCTACTCAGACCATCTTTTTTTCACACACACATGCCCCGTGGGTCGTTTTCAAACACACACACCAGGAAGGACACCAGGTCAAGGGCTACAAAGCAAGGGCAAGAGCAAAGAAATAGTCCCCAGTATGAGAACAGAGGGGACTAGAAGAGAGAGAGCTGACTGGATCAAAAATAAAGTGAAGAAAGAATTGCTTTTGAGCATCAGGGTCACAAGGGTTGAATACCAAAAGAAGGCCGAAGAGATTAAAAGAGTATTGACATGGAGGCAGATTTATGTGCGTGTGTGTGTGTATGTTAGAGGTACAGGGAGAGCGAGAGAGATGGGTGTTTGTGTTGAGGGTGAAAGAAAGAGAGAAACTGTGTGCAGTCACAGCAGATAGCGTGAGTGTGGCAGGTACAGACGAGGGGTGGGGAGAGCATTTTAACATCTCTAAAAAAAGGGGTTAGCTCCTCATATAGTCAGGAGATATGCCGGTCATGAAGGTAAGATGCATAACAGAGATAAAACAAAGGTCAAAAAAAGTC